CACTATCAAATTAGCTTCTTCCAAACAATTTCTACATAAGGTATAGCATTTCTACTTATGCCATAAATTCACTGATATGAGGGCATCTGGGACTGAGGCTGCTAGTACAACTACTGAATATTCCTTGAGGTCAGGTACTTTCTCTACAATGACCCAGGGAAAAACATAAGGCCATCCCCATATCACAGAGGAGAAAACAAGCTCAGAAATGTCTGGCTACAGATATACAATCTTAAAACTATGAATATAAGTTCTGAACCCAGACTTTGGCCACAAAGTCCTGGCGTAACACTGTCCCTCTATTATTATATAGTAACAACAACAGCTATTGTTATTATTATACAACTAGTATCAATTTAGTGTTTACTATACACGGGGTCCTATTAAATTCTCATAATGACCCTAATAAGCATTACAAATACTATACCCCCACTTTGCAGATGAGGAAACTAGAGCACAGAGAGGTCAAGAAACTTGCCCAAAGTCATATAGTCAGGAAGTGGCAGAGCTGGGGTTCAAATGCAAGACTCACTCTGGAGCTTCCATTTGTAATAACCAACACTACACATACTCAACTTCAAAGTTGTAGTATAAGAGAAAAGTAACAACACAAACGGTGCCTAAATATACCTGTAGTCTCATGCTTAATTTTTTAAGCAAATTTTTTTATTCTTAGATTATATTTTTCTAAATTTATTTGTCTTAGGTAAAAATTTTAATAAAAGGGATTCTGTGGCAATATAAAAATCATACAACTTTTTTGGGGCTCCTGGGTGGCTCAGTCAGTTGAGCGGCTGCCTTAGGCTCAGGTCATGATCAAGCCCCGCATCGCATCGGGCTCCCTGCTTAGCGGGGAGGCTGATTCTCCCTCTCCCTCTGCTTCTGCTCCCTCTGCTTACGCTCTCTCTCTGTCTGTGTCAAATAAATAAAAATCTTTAAAAAAAAAATCATACAACTTTTTTATTATGCAACAAAAAAAGAAAACTGTAAAATAGTCATTAATATGAGGCTCAACAATCAACATATGAAACACTTAATTTACTTTCTATTTCCTAGAACAAAGGTGAACGTTCAGGAAAAAAACTTAAAAAGAGCATTACACATCCATTTTAATAATTCTGGTTTCAAAGAGTATAGAAATAGATAGAATATTCCAATCTTAGTACCAAACTAATTAGCTCTGCACCCAAATATTTAGATTCTGCCCTTTGATCCCACATACACTAGAGAAAGTAAAGATAATGATTTGTTTAAAAGCTTTATGTGTCCCCTTACCTATAAGGATAAGCATTTGAATAAGAGAAAGAAAAAGGGGGCAAAGAAATTTTTTTTAAAAGAAGGAAAGAAGATAGGTTAAAAAAAAAAAAAGACCAACCTCCTCTCAGAAAGCACGGTCCATCCACATTAGAGAAAGGATTAAGCAGATACATTCAGCTTTTCTAACAGATTTTCTTTCTCTAAAGTTTCAATACCCCTCTCACACTCACAGATAATCACATTAGTTTTGTCATTAAAAGCTCTCTTTTCATAGAATGCACCTAAACCGCTTAAACCACCCAGAGAGGTCGCATACATTATCAAACACCAAGACGAACGGAAGAGATTTTCCATCTTATGTCTTATTATTTCACTCTATTTATCTGCATGCTCAGAAAGCTAAGTCAAAAGATTTGGTGAGTTATCAGCTAAAAACTTACTCAAAATAAACAACCTCTAGGGTATCCTTAAAAACTGCTCTTTAAGCTGAGAAGAGCCCCAGTAGTTTTTATGCTGACAGAGCAGTCAAATGACAGAGAGGTTCTCTATTTCCCTTTTCTCTTCTTCCTTGTGTTCCCTCAGCCAAGTCCATGATTATTTCTGCATGAATGTTGCAGCTTCTGTTAACAGTAAACAAAAGCAAATGGAGTCCGAGTGTGCAAAGCCACAAACAAATTAAAAAGAACGATACTTGAGTTGACACGGAAAAGATATTCAATCACAGCCTATGGATCCTTCAGAACCATACAAGGTTCAGGCAGAATTGGAAATCACCTACTTTTTTTCATAACCCAACTGTTACACATTATCTCACTATCCTAAGCCTGAGTTACAGACTTAGAAAAGGACGGCTGTTTGTCAGCCCTTTAAAAAGGAGGAAGTGTATCAGAGGGAGGAGGAGTCCTGGTTAAATGGAACTATCCAAGTGAAAGAGCGGTCCCCAACTGGGTAGTGTTCCTGGGATTAGTGGGTTGGGAGAACAGAGACGAGGTCAAGAAAGGAGAAATAGAATGAACAGTGAAAGAAAGTGATCTGAAGCTAAAAGTTTGGGAGGGAGACATGTAGTAGAAATACTCTGAAATCATATAGGATAAAACTGGAAATAGAGGCAATGGAAATTTCTCAAGCAAGGGGCAAAGAGATTTCTTTTGGTTGGGGTGCAGGCAAGAAACAGAGTCATAAATATATTATAAGCAATCAAGAATTCCTTAATATGCCAAAAGAAAGGATAAAACCAGTAAGAAAGAACTGAAGAAAATGACAAGAAGTAGTCCTGAAGAAAAGTAAAAGGTGATTGTCAGGCAAAGACACAAGTTTCCTTGTCTTAAAAATAAACTTTTATAATGTATATACAAAAGACAAAAGAAGGATTGTGCTAAATCAAAAACAGATGTCAAAAGATGTGAGATATACTCCACTAACTCTGAGTGAATATTTAGGAGAGAGAAAGGATAGAATATTTACATTCAAGATGCAACAGCAAAATATCTCAAAAGGAACATTAAAGAAATGGGGAGAAAAGCAAAGCTAGTGTTCCTTGTTCCAAATCATAAACAAATGAACACTAAAAAGCTGTATTCCTCTGGCTTTTTCTAAATCAGGGGTCAGCATACTATAGCCCCCAGGCCAAATCCAGGCGACTGCCTGTTTTATAAATAAAGTATTATTGTGACACAGTGTTCCTCATTGATTTATATTTGTCTATTGCTACTTTCTCGCTACAGCTGCAGAACTGAGTAATTGCGGCAGAAACCGAACGGCCCACAAAACATAAAATATTTACTATCTAGTTCTTTACAAATAAAGTTTGCCAACCTTCGTTCTAAATAAGAAGGGAATTCCCCATATGTTTTTATAACCTGACAACTCACTTATTCTTCAAGTGGGCATAAAAATGCAAACGTAATTCTCACTTTGTACAGAGAATACAGTTAAATCTGATAGTTGTCACAATGCGACTAGTGATCCACCCAAAACTTCAGCCAAATCCTCTCCTAATCCAGTGCAATATGGTAGAAGATCAGAGGCTCTGAATAATAGTAGACCCAAGTTCAAATCCCACTTTCACCATCTCTTCACTGAGCTTAAATTTCCTCTCCATAAAACTCCAAAAATTTCCTCTCCATTGTACTTCTTTTTTTCCTATATTATTGTAATAATATATAAATATTATATATTATTTCCTATATTAACATATAGAATATTATATTATTATGGGGATTAAATGGGATAGCATATATGAAAGTGTTCTGCAAATAGTAAAATAATTTGGATAAGGGATTATTAGCACAAAGACGTATATGGAGGCCAACCGACTCAAATTTAGTTTTTTCTCATTATTTTGATCCAGGTTTTCCTACCATGAGAGAGATCAGCTCTTTTAAATAATTTTGTATTGTCTAAGCTCAATTTAATTCAATACACATTTACCTCTGGCCTGCTATGTGCAAGACATCCACTTGTCATTCTACTTCTTATATGAGGAAAAATATCTCTAATAGCAAATGACCTTGTTCCATTTGGGTTACGAAGTTTTAAGCAAAATGTTCATTTAATATTAAGTTCAAAGGGATTGTGTTAAATTAAAAGTGCTTTTGAAAACTGGTTCTCATATTATCAAATTTATTTACATTTCCAGCACTCATTCTAGCTGTAGAATCAGTTATACTCTCTAAACTTAACCATCAAGTTAGCCAAACTTTGATTTTAAAACTAAGAAGAATGTTCTTTACAAAGAAATGCTTAAAAGAGGATACACAATAAAGAATTTTGCCATGTAAAAACCTAAAAATTTATGATGTAATGTGTCTTCACAATTTCCAGAATGTTTTCACATCTAATATTTTATTTGATCCTGAGCACAACCCTACGGAGAACATAAGTATAATTATCTCATTTTGCAGAGGAAGACATGGAGGCTCAGAAGAAGACAGCCTTACCCAAGATCACACAGCTGGTAAATGGTAGTTCTAGATCAAGGATCCAGAGTCAGTACTCTTTCCACTCCACCCTGCTACATGGAGATCACTCCTTTATGATAAGTGTAACACTTAGAACACATTAGCAGTTGACTGAATCATAGCACTGTGATAGCAATTGCCATTTATTAAGCACTAACCATATATGACATAGGTCTATGTGTCTCACATACAACACAAAGATGTAATAAAGTAAATTGTCCATGCAAAGCGTACAGCACAAGACTTGGCACATAGTAATCATTCCATTAGCAGCAACTACTGGTCTTAGTTCCAATTCATACAACTCTATAATCTATACATTTTGTCTCCTTTATCCAAATGAGAGGAAACTGATGTTCAGAAAAGTTAGATAAGGGACGCCTGGGTGGTGCAGTTGGTTAAGCTGCCAACTCTTGGTTTGGGCTCAGGTGGTGATCTCAGGGTCATGAGATGAGCCCCGCATCAGGCTGTGCACTCAGTATGGAGTCTGCTTAAGACTCTCTTTCCTTCTCCCTTACCCGTTCCCCCTCTAAAAAAAAAAAAAAGAGAAAAAGAAAGAAACTTAGGTAAGATGTCCAAGGTGAGTAACCAGAAAGTGACAGAAGCCAGGATTTCTGCCCAGGTTAGTCAAACCCAGAGCCCCTTTGTCACTGGAGAGTCCTTCGATGCTAAAAGTCACAGAAAGTACCAGTTTAAAAAACAAAACGAAATCCTGAAACTAATAATACACTGAGAGAGAGAGAAGTTCGTATTAAAAGTGATGAAAGGACATTTTCCTGTTACCTTGATAGGCCAAGCAGGCAAAGGCTGTAAAAAGTCAGACTCATAAGGGTAGTCCACCATTGCCAGATTTATCCAGGTTTCAGAGATCCAGGCTTTCAAATTCTGGACATCCTGAGTATTTGTTAATGCAGTACATAAGCCAAGGGATTCAGACAGCCAACGCAAGCCAGCACCTGAGAACAGAATCACATTGTCTGGAATCCAAAAAGCACTACTTGACAGAAGGCTTTACTTGGTATTTTAGAAAATTCAATCTTCTACACCATTTCTCCAAGAATGCTTTTTCAACATTCAATAAAATACTTTTAGAGCATTTGGATAATCCCATGATAAATAAGTTGTCTATCCTCATATGGAGTCTGCCAGAAATCACATGAAGTATTCCCTGTTTCAAAGATACTATTGAAATAAGTAAAAAATAAACAAATGGAACACTAGAGAGCAGTTAGAACGTGTAAACCACAACTAAGTAAAACAAATGGATATATCTGACATAGTGTCGAGCAAAAGACAGCAGACACAAAACATACATACTGTGTTCCTGATTATAGTGGATGATGAGTATACTATTATACCATACTGATTATGTTTTCCCTTGTAAAAATTCATCAAGTGATGTATTTTGATTTGTGTATGTTTTTGTATGTTTTACTTAAATAAAAAGGTTACTGAAAATCTGAGAAGTGTTGAATTAACAAGTGAAGGGTAAAAAACTCTGTGATTCCATTCTATTAATTAAAGCTTACCTGTTCTTGCGAATCGATTAATAGCATCCCAGGAGCTGCGAATGGTTTCTGAACAATTTGGACCACTTCTCTTAAAATCTTTAGTTACAATTTCCATAAATACACCACAAGGTACCAGATTACCAAAATGCCAGATGGGGGCAGAGGCTGCAAGAGCTCTAAATGGTGAGAAAAATAAGAAAGGAGAAAAGAAAAAAAATGTAACTCACTGAATTCAAATTTTAAAATTGAAACTGATACTGAACAAAAATGGTGAGAAAAATTACAGTTGTTAATGAGATAGAAAGTAGAAATATCAGTACAACAAAACATGTTTTACCCAAAACAAATCTCTAAGTATGCCTTGACAATCATTAAGAAGTGCTCATGTCCAACATAAATGTATTTACCCAACCACTATATGAGGATATTTCATCCTGAACCAGGCTGCAAGCATGCCACCGTAAGAGCCCCCTATGGCAATGACAGGTTGATTTTTAGCTCCTGGGATTGTTTTTTTCAAGTGTTTGATTAACACTGCAAAATCAGCCAGAGCTTGTTCTGATGTCAGAAAGTCCAAGTGTCTGGAATCCTAAAGAAAAGTAACAAAGAACACATATAAATGTGCACATAATAGCAGCTTAGGCATAGCACAGATTCAGGAAAAAAGCCAGTCAGATAAGCTTTTCTCCAAATAGAATTTCTAGGCAATTGAGTTAAAATGCCCAGTCAACATAATAGCAATGCTGATTTAAACAAATCTTAAAAAAAAAAAAATGATTTTAAGTTTGTGGGACAAACATAATGTATTTTGCATTCAAATGTAATTTCTATTAAATGCTATTTACCAAAAATTTTGTTGAGGTTGTAGAAACAACAGAAACAAACTGTAACATTTAACAGCAAATGTAATAGAATACAATTCTCAGCTTAACAGACAATTGCTGTATTATAATTTTTATTTTAAAACTTGAAACATTTAAAATGGCTACCATACAGGCAAAGGTAGACTGAATCCTGTGAAAAATTGAAGAATCATCAATAAATTTCATCCTCTCTAATCAGAAAGATAATTATTATGTCTGATATACCAACAACTGGAAATTACCCTGTGTAAACAATATGAAATTAGAGTTAAAAACAAAAACCAATAGAGCAATTATATTCTGGCATTAGAAAACAGGCAACACGAGACATTGATCCTTGAGAAAAGGATACTCCTAAAGTAAGTTCCATAATCATCTAATTCTCTGCCTAAAGACAATTGCCTCACTTCAACATAGAGAGGTAGAGCTCAGAATCCTGCTAAGCTAAGGAGGCTAATAAAGTATCTCCCTTTAAAAGACAAGGCCTAAGTCCTCTGTCTTTGAACCTTGGACTAGACTTAGTGACTTGGTTCTAACCAATAAAATGTATCAGAAGCGATATGTGACTTCCAATGTTAAGTCATAATAAGCACTGCAGTTTCCACCTTGCTCTGTCGGACTATCGACTTTGCCTTGTCATGACGCCACTCAAGTAAGCCTTTGGAGAAACCCTGGAAGAGACAAACTACAGCCTCTTGCTAACACCCAGCAACGTTTTGTCACTCATGTGGATTCTCCATATAGAGGAGAGGGTTCTCTGGCACCAGTCAAGCCTTCAGATAACTGTTAACACCAGCTAACATCTCAACCTGAGACCCCTTGAAAAAGAAGCTCCTAGCTGAGTCACTTTTAATTCCTTACCCATAGGAACTATGAGACAATAAATGTTTATTGCTGTTTTAAGTCACTAAGGTTTGAGGTAAATTGTTACGTAGCAATAGGTAACCAGTAGAGCTATATACCTATTAGGCTGTCCTATTCGATCTTCAGGCTCTGGTCTCACCACTCTGTTTGACTTCTTCCAACATTTGGCACATTCCGAAACCACATAGTTCCCATCTTTCCTCTTTCCTATGTATGTCACCTACTCCTTTAGCCTTCCCCCTTATCCAAGATGTATACCTTCTGACCTCTCACCTCCTTTCTTATTGTCTGTCACTAGTCTTTTACTTCCAGTTTTCATGGCACTATGTATAGTTGAGTGTGATTTTTTCTAGTCCTCGCATAGTACTTGTAATATTATCCCCCAAGCTACTGACAAATTCTGTGAGCACATGAAGAGAAAGAAGCTATCAAAGAGAGCCTTCTGCTCCATTTTGCTATTAAAGTATGAACCGAAGGGATCTAGAAAAGGATATTATGTTTCTGTCTGCAACAAGCTGACTACTTCCCAGTGGTTTCAGGACCTATCAACTCTCCTAATCAGATAATTATGCAGAATAATAAGCTAAAGAATAGAGTTTCCCGTGCGCCCCAACAACTATTAGCAAATTGTTCTGCTTTTCATTTACAACACAAGGACTTTTTATTTATTTATTTATAATATGAGCTAATAAAACCTCTGAGAACAAAAATTAAAACTCCTTTCAAAATAGGCAGCCTAGAAAATTACTGTCCCCAAGTTCTTCTAACTCAGAGTTCCCCCAAAAGATGGCATGTGTATACTGGTAGTATGCATCATGGTCTTAGTATAATGCACAATCTTTTTAAATTTAATACTTGTTTTAATGTCATTTAGAAAAAACATTAACTAGTACATTAAGCCCTTGTTAAGGTAATGCAAAGTTTGAAAAGTTAGTTGTTTAAAAAAAAATATTACATAAATAACAGCACAGATGGCAAATTCATACAGCCAGAATCACAAAGGTAGTACATGAGTGACTTAGTTGCGGAAAAAGTATCCTTTTTATTAGGTGTAGAGTCTGAGGTCAAGGCCAAAACTCCTTGTGAGATCAGGAAAGGCCAGAAGGGAATCCAAGTGGCCCGTTGGACTCACTAAACCAGGGATAATTTGTTCTCGTTTTATTGAAAAATACCTTATTAAATATTTGAGTGCTCATTGTATTTTCTCCAGCGGTAGACCCAGGAATTTAAGTGTAAACTTATAAAGCAGAATTATTTACTGACATTTTTGAAACAATGAGAAGTTCCCTTCACAGTCTCTGCAGCCCAGCCATACCTTAAGATTTCGCTGGTGACAGCTAATCTCATCACAGAGTTAGACTGACCAACATAAGTGATAATATTACGGTTTTAAAAAGGCTTAATCTGTTCGATTGCATATAAAAAGGAAAGATTAAATAAAAATTTTTCAAGCTGTTCAAATTAAAGCTATCATTTCTTTCTTAGAGTGGGACATGTTATTAGAACAGGTAATTCCTAAACTTCAAAAAAAAAAAACTTTTAAACTTAAAAATAAAAAGTATACAGGCACACCTCAGAGATATTGCAGGTTCAGTTCCAGACCACTGCAATAAAGTGGATATCACAATAAAGTGAGTCAAATTACTATTTTGGTTTCCTAGTGCACATAAAAGTTATGTTTACACCATACTGTAGTCTATTAAGTGTGCATTAGTATTATTTCTAAAAAGATGTACATACCTTAATTTAAAAATATTTCATTGATAAAAAATGCTAACCATCATCTGAGCTTTCAGTGAGTTTTCTGAGCTTTCATCTTTTTACCAGTGGAGGATCATGCCTAAATGTTGATCGCTGCTGACTGGTCAGGTTGGTGGTTGCTGAAGGCCGGGGTAGCTGTGGCAATGTCTTAAAATAAAACAACAATGAAGTCTGCCACACTGATTGATTTTTCCTTTCATGAATGCTTTCTCTGTAGCATGTGATGCTGTTCAATAGCACTTTACCCACAGAACTCCTTTCAAAATTGGAATCAATCTTCTCAAGCCCTATAGCTGTTTTACCAACTAAGTTTATATAATTTTCTTTTTTTTTTTAAGATTTATTTATTTATTTTGAGAGAGTGAGAATGAGAGAGAGAGAGAGAGCACATGAGAGGGGGGAAGGGAGAAGCAGGTTCCTCGCTGAGCAGGGAGCCTGATGCGGGACTCAATCCCGGGACTCCAGGATCATGACCTGAGCCGAAGGCAGTCGCTTAACCAACTGAGCCACCCAGGCGCCCCAGTTTATATAATTTTCTACATTCATTGTTGTCATTCCAACAATCTTCACAGCATCTTCACCAGCAGTAGATTCCATCTCCAGAAACCACTTTCTTTGCTCACCTGTGAAAAGCAACTCTTCATCTATTCAAGTTTTATCATGAGATTGGAGCAGTTCAGTCCCATCTTCAGGCTCCACTTCTAATCCTAGTTTTCTTGCTGTTTCCACCACATCTGCAGTTACATCCTCCACTAAAGTCTTCAGCCCCTCACAGTCATACATGAGGGTTGGAATCCACTTCTTTCAAACTCCTGTTCATGTTGATATTTTGACCTCTTCCCACAAATCCTGAATGTTCTTGATGGCATCTAGAATGGTGAATCCTTTCCGGAAGGTTTTCAATTGACTTTGCCCATATCTATCAGAGGATTCACTCTGTGGCAGCTATAGCCTTACGAAATGTATTTCTTAAATAAGATTTGAAAGTCAAAATGATTCCTTGATCCATGGGCTGCAGAATGGATGCTGTATTAGGAGACATGAAAACAACATTCATCTCATTGTACATCTCCATCAGAGCTCTTAGATGACCAGGTGCATTGTCAATGAACAATAATATTTTGAAAGGAACTTTTTTCTTCCTGAGCAGTAGGTCTCAACAGTGGTCTTAAAATATTCAGTAGACCATGTTGTGAACAGATGTGCAGTGATCCAGGCCTTGTTCTTCCATTTATAGAGCACAAAGTAGATTTAGCATAATTCTTTAAGGCCCTAGGATATTCAGGATGGTAAATGTGCACTGGCTTCAATTTAAAGTTACCAGCTACATTAACCCCTAACAAGAGAGTCAGGCTGTCCTTTCGAAGATTTGAAACCAATCATTGACTTCTCCTCTCTAGCAATGAAAGTCCTAGATGGCATCCTCTTTCAACAAAAAGCTGTTTTGTCTATATTGAAAATCTATTGTTTAATGTAGCTACCTTCATGAATTATCTCAGCTAGATCTTCTGTATAACTTACTGCAGCTTCTATATCAGCACTTACTGCTTCATCTTGCACTTTTATGTTATGGAGATGGCTTCTTCCTTAAACCTCATGAACCAACCTCTGCTAGCTTCAGACTTTTCTTCTGCAGCTTCCTTACCTCCCTTAGCCTTCATCAAATTGAATAGAGTTAGGGCTTTGCTCTGGATTAGGCTTTGGCTTGAGGGACTGTTGTGGCTCGTTTGATCTTCTATCCCGACCACTCAAACTTTCTCCATATCAACAATAATGCTGTTTCACTTTCTTGTCATTTGTATGTTCACTGGCACAGCACTTTTAATTTCCTTCAAGAACTCTTCCTTTGTATTCACAACCTGGCTGAACGACTGGCACAAGAGGCCTAGCTTTTGGCCTCTCTCAGCTTTCAACATGCCTTCCTCACTAAGCTTAATCATTTCTAGCTTTCCATTTAAAATGAGAGACAGGCAACTCTTCTTTTCACTGGAACACTTAGAGGCCATTGTAGGATTATTAATTGGCCTCATTTCAATATTTTTGTGTCTCAGGGAATAAGCAGGCCTGAGGAGACGGAAAGATATGGGGGAATAGCCAGTCGGTGGAGCAGTCAGAACACATACGTTATTTATCAATTAAATTTGCCATCTTCTGTGAGCATCTTAGATGACTGATCACAGATCACCATAACAAATATAATAATAATGAAAAAGTTTTGACCTATTACAAGAATTGCCAAAATGTGACACAGAGACACAAAGAAAGGAAATACTGTTAGAAAAATGGCACTGATACATTTGCTCAACACAGAGTTGCTACAAACCTTCAATTTGCAAATAACACATAATCTGTAAAGTACAGTAAAGTGAAATGCAATAAAAAAGGTAGGCCTGTACTTACTGTGAATGATTTGTTACCAAAAGGTAGGGACTCCCCATAGTATCGATGTTCTGCAAACACCAACATAGCCTTCAGTTGAGCAGCCACATCCCACATGAACCCCTGGGAAGAATTTACAAATCCACAGGATAAAAATCAGGATGTGAAAAAAGTCACTGAACCTTTTGGCAACTCACATGTAATGAATGTTAAACCAGACCAAAAAGAGCTCTGAGAAGCCGCACAATTTATATTTGTTCTACAGATAAAAAAATTGTTGTTTCATTGTTGCACATCAATCTCACACTATATTAGAGTGAAACAATTAAAAATAAGCCCAAGTCACTCAAACACCAGTCATTCCAACTCTCCTTATTCTAACATTCTAGCTGTAGAATCAATATTATGTCGAAAATATTAGTCTTCAAATTGCACTGTGTACCAAATAGTCTAGGAAAGAACTGAGGATATCTAAGTTAGCTGCCTACTCGTAAACATTTACAACATAAAAGAAAAAAAAATACAAATAAGCATACTGGACTCCCTTGGGTTCCATATTAACCTTATTTACTTGAAAATAAGCAGTAGCTAACAATAGCTAATAATAATCAAGTGCTTACAGTGTGTCAGGCACTGTTCTAAATACTTCATATATATTAATTCACTTAATTATCATAACAATCTAGGACATAGGCACTTTTATTATCCCCATTTTAGAGACAAGGACACTGAGACACAGTAGTTTAAATATCCTATGACAGTCACACAGCTAGAAAGTAGCAGAGCCAAGATTCGAGCACTGGCTGTCTGGCTTCACGGCACAATCATCAAGCGCTGTTCGACCTCCTTATGTCCACACTTAATGCTGGTAATTAATCAATCACTGCATTTTTTTCACTTACCTCAAATGGTACCCTCAGAATTCTTCTTGACAAAGCACTCTAAGCAGCCAACATCAATTGATTAGATTTAGATTTAGCACAGATTAAAACTATTTGTCATTCCTAGGGCACACTGCTGTTTTTTAATGAACTCCTGCTCCCTAACAACAACTAAGAACCTCTAAAATGTTTTGCTCATTTTGATCAATAAATGAACAATTAAAAGATCTGTTTGCATGTGACGATGGAGAATTTAACTTGTTATCTGTGATGGTTTCAATAACCCTCACTTTCTCTCTTAACACCTTGCCCATTCCCTGCCATTTATCTGCAGATAAATGATAAACCAGCTCAAGATGCCCTCTTCTGCCTGCCCCATTTTGGCACCGCTGATCACTCCCGCCTCTCAACACCACTGTGCTAGACATAGCTCTCTATTACTGTGTTGCAATATTTGCTTAAATGTGTGTCTTACCCTACCAGACTATGAGCTTCTTAAGGGTAAAGATCATTTATCAAAATAGCTACACCTCTGAGGAGCTGACCTCAGGCTTTTAAAGGAAGCAATTTAATAAAAATGATTCACATTATAAGTGATTATTTGCCTGCATCTATTTCAGGGTATTTTTATTTTTCAGAAGAGGTCCATGTAATATATTAACATTTAATAATATTATAGCATTGTCCTAAGTTCCTAATTCTTATTTAGTCCTCATAGCAACTCTATGAACCAGATTATTAATATATCCATTTAGCAGATAAGAAAACTGAGGCACAGAATAAGAAACTGTCCAAAGTCACACAGCATAATGGCAAAACCAGAATTCAATTCTTATCAATCCTTATCAGTCTATCACTCCTGACCATTTTGCTACACTGTCTCTTAATAGATGAATGTCCAGAATATGTGACTATGCAACCAGGACATTTTAGTATGTACAGGGAGGTGTCTAGGGCTGGGAAAAAAACAGGATCCTCCTAAGGATCTACCTCTAGCCACTTCCTGGAACTGCTCCTACACTGTATTGTTCTTCCTCTCTATCACTTCTGAGGCAAGCCTTAAATTATGCTGCAGTGTCTGTCAGAGCAGTGGAGGCAGGAACAGTTGCCTATCTATAATAAAGAAGAAAGGGGGGGGACACCTGGGTGGCTCAGTTAAGTGTCCGACTCTTTTTTTTTTTTTTTAGTGTTTTTTCTTTTTTTCATTTACTCTTATTTTTTAATTTTTTTTTTTTTTAAAGTGTCTGACTCTTGATTTCAGCTGAGGTCATGATCTCAGGGTCATGAGACTGAACCCCAAGTTGGGCTCTACACTGAATGTGGAGCCTGCTTGAAATTCTCTCTCTCCCAATACCTTTGCCCCTCCCCTCCCACTTTCTCTCTCAAAAAAGAAGAAGGAGGAGGAGGAGGAAGAGGAGCTGGAAAAATAACTGGGCAGGAGAAGCTGCCCCATGGCCTTGGCATAAATGGGAAGTCACACAGGAGAAAGAAAAAAAAGCTAAAGCAGCCTCAGTTGTTCCATAGAAAAAGTAAGCAGGAATCTGATGGAAAGTAAATCTTAACTTCATTTGTCACTGATCTAAGAGACATAGACGTCCTAGGATCTCATTTCTCAGGGAATTATTTTATTTTCAACTAACATATTTAGACTGAACATTCCTAAGGAAATAATCAGAAATGGGAAATGCAATAACAGTATAATTAGGTTCATATCTTTGCTTTCAGTTCAGTTTAGTTCAACAAACATTTACTGAGACCTCCTGACTACCAGTGGAAAAAATATAATTCAGTCTTCACTTTGAGGTAGTTCACAGACTAGCTTTTTGGTAGCAAGCTGACATTCTCTAGTCATAGCTTTGGAACATAAAAAAGGAAAATTTCTTCAAGTGTCCTTCTAAATTAAATGTTGTTAATGGATTTAAGTGTTATTATAAAAGATGATAGAATGTATAGTCAGGGAAGCAAGCTAACATCTATACAATTTTTTAACCCTCACAAATATAAGAAAAACAGAACAGGAAAGCTAAATTAAAAATCCTATTTGACAAACAAACTTGCATTTTTTTTCTTATTTGCCCTGGCTTTGTTTAGGTTTTATCCATTTATTCATTTAACAAATATTTATTGAGCACCAACTATATGCCTAGCACAGTTTTAGACTGAATATACAACTATAAACAAACAAAACTTCATGCCCTTGTGTTTACATTCTAGAGACCATAATCAAAACAAAAACCAAAAAAATCTATATGCAATAACATTCTTTTTTTTTTTTTTTTTAAGATTTTATTTATTTATTTGACAGAGAGAGAGCACAAGCAGGGGGAGCGGCAGGCAAAGGGAGAAGCAGGCTCCCTGCTGAGGAAGGAGCACAATGTGGGGCTCCATCCCAGGACTCTGGGATCATGACCTGAGCCGAAGGCAGACACTTAACTGAGCCACCCAGGCGTCCCTGCAATAACATTCTTATTCCCATGTCCCTCATATCCTTATTCACTCTAGAAATAAGATGGGATTTTTTAAAAATCTAAGATGCAATTGTCCAAAAATAGTATTTCATTCTTTTCATGTATAATTCTTTAAGGCAGAACATGTAGGCTTATTGGATATCTGTATTCATTCTTTTGTGATCTGCCCATTCATATGCTTCTGCCATTTTTCTATTATTAGTGAGTTTTATCTGTTATTTTCTAAAGAGCTTCAGAATTAGTCACAGTAATACTTGGTCATATATACTGCAAAACATTTTTTTTCCAGTTTGCCATAATAAAAGGCATATTGAGCATAGGAATTTGCACATACCGTATTATTGCAAAACCAAGTAATGTCCCCTTCATTACCAGTGTAGAAAAGTATTGATCCACCATTTTTCTTCCAGTATTCATCGGCTATTAGGTATCGCTGTTTAAAAGTTTTATCAGCATCAAATCCAAAATGATTAACCTATGACAAAAGCAAAGTAGACAAATTTCAGAGGAAAGTAATTAAATGAGACCTGCAAAAAAGTAAATTTATTCTTCCATTAAAATCAACTTATGTTACATAAATAATCACAAAACTTTTTAAACTTCATTTGACTTTAGTCGCAGTAGTAATATTGGCACTGTTATTTTGAAATTACTTTCTTTATACTGTAAGATAAAACAATATTAGGGGCACCTGGCTGGCTCAGTCAGTAGAGCATGCCACTCTTGATCTCAGGGTCATGAGTTCAAATTCCACATTGGGTGTGAAACTTACTTAAAAAAAAAAATCACAGATCTGTACCTCTGAAACAAATAATACATTATATGTTTAAAAAAAAAGAAGAAGATAGTAGGAAGGGAAAAATGAAGGGGGGGGACATCGGAGGGGGAGACAAACCATGAGAGACTATGGACTCTGAGAAACAAACTGAGGGTTCTAGAGGGGAGGGGGGGTGAGGGATGGATTAGCCTGGTGATGGGTGTTAAGGAGGGCACTTATTGAATGGAGCACTGGGTGTTATACACAAACAATGAATCATGGAACACTACAACAAAAACTAATGACGTAATGTATGGTGACAAACATAACATAATAAAAAACAAAAAACAAAAAACAGGGGCACCTGGGTGGCTCAGTCAATTAAGCATCTGCCTTCAGCTCAGGGCTCAGGTCAGGATCAGTCCTAGGATTGAGCCCCATGTCGGCTCCTGCTCAGTGGGGAGTCTGCTTCTCCCTCTCCTTCTACCCCCGCCCCCGCCTGCTTGTGCTTCCTCTCTCAAATAAATAAATAAAATCTTAAAAAAAAAAACAACAATAAAAAAACAGTGTTATCAGTACTCAAGATTTTCAGTGTAAGAGAAGAGATAACAATTATAAAATGAAGCAGCTATTTAGGGGCGCCTAGGTGGCTCAGTTGTTAAGCGTCTGCCTTCAGCTCAGGTCATGATCTCAGGGTTCTGGGATTGAGTCCTGCATCTGGCTCCCTGCTCAGCAGGGAGCCTGCTTCTCCCTCTCCCACTCCCCCTGCTTGTGTTCCCTCTCTTGCTGTCTCTCTGGCAAATAAATAAATAAAATCTTTTTTAAAAAAATGAAGGAGCTATTTAAAAACACAGTAGTTAAAACTGAATTGGAAACAGAGATATGAATCCATTAACTTTTAAAATACATATATCCCTGGGGCACCTGGGTGGCTCAGTTGGTTGAGCATCTGAGTTTGGCTCAGGTCATGATCCTGGGGACCTGAGCATTAGGCTCCCTGCTCAGTGGGGAGTCTGCTTATCCCTTTCCCTCTGCCCCTCCCCCTGCTTGTGCACACTCTCTCTGTCTCAAATAAATAAATAAAATCTTTTAAAAAATACAGATATCCCTTACGATCTGTATTTTCATTAGCTGACTGAAACATTCAATTCACAAAAATCTACTAGTTCAGAAGGATATCAAAAAAGAAAAAGCAAAGCATATAGTCATTCGCTACCATTTAAGGTGTCTATTAAACCAACTCCTAACTTAGAAATTGGGAATACAAAAGTAAAGAACTCAACATTTAACCTGCCTTTCCAGCAGAATTATGTTTCAAAGTAACAAAGGGTCCCAGTTAATGAAAAAGAGCTCTGTTCAATTAAATGTCAGCTAAAGCAGAAGAAATGACAAAATTAGACAAATGATAGTTTTGCAAACCCTTATGAAGTTACTGATTAGGTAAGAATTACCACATGATGTTAAAAGCATTAGGAGAATGAATGACAGGGAAATGAAGATTCATATTAGTACCAAAGGAACACCATGGAGAGTACCTTCTTGTCACATCGGCAAAACGTAATTTTACAATGGAAGGATCAGGTTGTCATCACCTCAATCTAGTGATCAAAATTAGCATCACTAACAGTGGGGCAGGCATGGATTATGCATCCCCTTAGGTGGTTCAACAAAAGCAAATTTCACGTATGACAAAATCACGCCAAAAATGTTCAACTTTTATCTTTTTCCAGCCTTTAGATCTAATTTCTTTTAGATCTAATTTCCCGTTTCCAGGAAATGCACAGGGTAGATGAACAAGCTAAAGACACTCTGAATAAGCAATCAGACAAATCCAAATGTGTGATAAGACAATGGTAAGGCAATGTAATGATAAATAAATAAACTTTAAGGAACAAAATAACCAGATGCAATGCATGATTCCAGGTTGTATTCTGGTTCAAACAAATGATACAAATGATAATTTAGGGACAATTTTGTTAATCTGAATATGGACTAGATATTAGATAATACTAACGACTTGTTAATTTTGTTAGGAGTGATCATACTGTGGCTACATAGGTAAATGTTTTTATTTTTTACAGCTGTACATTGAAGGATTTAGAGATAGAATGTCATGTTGTCTGCAATTTACTTGAAAATATTTCAGCATAAAAAAGTAAGATGAATTTAAAGGAAGAAAATTTAATCTATACTGAAAGAGACAAAACACAGAATACACAAAACACAGAAACACAGAGACTTTGCAAGACTTAATATAAAACATGTCCAAAATCAGAAAAATGATACAATAATTTTAAGCTTAAAACGAATTTTAAATTTTTGAGATTTTTTTTTTTACCCTTTCCTTAATAAACTCACCATTTAAAATATAATTATCAAATCCTACAACATGGTAAGATTCATGTGCAGCTACCTGAATTTACAGTGTTATCCATAGTACAGAGCCCCACTGAGCCTTTAGGATCATGGGGCTGAACTTCCCCAATACTTTGGAGACAGAAGTGAAAGTGCTGCATCTGGCACCGGATGCCCCAGTGCTGCTCCAGACTGTCCGGGTCAGACCTAAACCAGGGTCTGCTAGACTTCCCTAGGCCATTCTAAAACAGATGGGACTCCTCACACCCAGCTCCATCTATATACACATATCTACTTCACATTATTCCAGAGGTCCCAAAATGCAAGTTTCTCAAAACTGCACTAATTACATACTTTCTGATGTCCATGATCATCATCATATATAGTCCTAAAATATAAGCTATTCTAATCTAAAGATTGCCTACCTCAGGATAATAAATGGTTTGTATAGAACAGGCATATGATAATGATGTCCATGTGCTAAAAATCCCTCCCATTTTATATGTTAATTCAACATATATAATCAATCACTCATTCAACAAGTGTCTATTGAATCGCCAAGTTCCTGTTCTGGGCCAAGAAGTAAGCTAAGCAATGGGATAAAGTGTTGGCTGAGCCACAACACCTACATTTAATTTAAATGAATTTAACTATACCCATTCACCTAAAAATAATAGAGAGCAAGAGAGACAGTGGAGGGAAGAAAGACAAGGGATTCCACTTGCCTCCATTCAGTTAGTACAGCGGTCCTCCATGCAAAGTCCCCGGAAATCAGAATCAGCATCACCTGCGAATCTCTTAAAAATGCAAATACTCTGGCTGAATCCCAAACCTACTGAGTCAGAAACTGTGGAGAGTAGAACACAGTAGTCTGTGATTCTGATGTACAGCTGAAGTTTTGAGTTAGCCTAAGCCCTCAAATAGGAGATGACTCTGCTATTCTTTCCTTTGATCCAGGTTTCAGAATACCTCTAATACTATAAGCATCTCACCATGCTGAATGAGAGTCTGATGTTTAAAGATGTGCATCACCACCCAACATGACCCCCAAATACAAGCCAACCTCATTATTTGAAGCTCAACAGGAAAAACTATGATCTATTTCACCAAAGAAGGAAAGACTGGCTGTGCTGGACTTAAAGAAAGGAAGTACATGGCTCTCTAACAAGACGCCTTACCATGGGATTCTCAAAGATTATTCTGCTGTAGTGATTTTCACCTTACCTACTGACTTTAGAACCCAGGCTTCTTATGAGATATTGCTGTACCCTTAAAAAGTAGCCCACAAAAAACATATTTCAATAATCCAATCTAAAGTTTTCAAATTTGAAAACATGGGTATGTGTTTGTATATAGCATGTTAAACATAAATGGTAAAAAATTCTTGTCAGAGGAAAAACTTCCATCTAGAATTATAAGGGTCACCAAAACTTTAGAACCAGAGAAAGTCAAACTTCTATGTGTGACCACTGTCTGGCCATGCCTGCTCCTAGTAATTCATCCCTAATTGTTTAAATTGGGAGAAAAAGGGAAGAACTCTGGTATGGTAGAAAGAAAGCAGTTTTGGGGCGCTTGGGTGGCTCAGTCGGTTAAGCATCTGCCTTCGGCTCAGGTCATCGAGCCCCACATAGGGCTCCCTGCTCCATGGGAAGCCTGCTTCTCCCTCTCCCACTCCCCCTGCTTGTGTTCCCTCTCTCACTGTGTCTCTGTCAAATAAATTTTTAAAATCTTTAAAAAAAAAAAAAAGAAAGAAAGCAGGTTTGCGAATTAACAGACCTGAACTTGAATCTCTACTGTGAAGCCTCACACAAGTCACTTCACCTCTCTGAGCCCAGTATCTTCATATAAAATAATGATAACACACAATTTAAAGGATTGCTGTGAGGATTAGAGAAAATGTACTTACAGTACCAGGTATAGTTTCTAATATACAGTAAGTACTCAATAAATGTTAGTTCTCCTCTCCATCCCATTTGTAAACCAATCCTAAGTATGGAGTACTTGGATGGGGTAAATAAGGTAGAGGGAGATGATAAAGCTCTTCACAAAAGAAAAAGAAAAGTTCTTCATATAATTGTAAGAAGTACCCTTGGAATGTCAAAATCTCTTTTTTTTTTTTTTTTTTAGTGTTTCACCTAAATATTAAATAGTTAGAAAACAGGCCATAAAATCTCTTTTGCAAAACACTAGTTTACGTAATTTCCTTGGCTCCTTCCTATCATCAAGGATATCAACTTCAGGCTACCTAACTACAGATAGTTTCTAATACCTAAGGGCCCAGCACACTAGGGGCAGTGTGCCCTCTGCCGTTGAGAACTGAGACCCACATGCCACTTTTCAACTCTGTGTTCCTGAATAAAGAG